TCTGCACCCTCTAGGTGCAAAGAACAGGAACTGACTTACCTGAGGCTCTCCCCTCGCCCTCTCAAGCTTCTAAGGAAGCACGTTTTAACTGTCAGGAAAATAAGATCCGGGAATGGCATTTTCAGAAAGGCTGCAGCACCTCCCCCAGACAATATTGAGAAGAGAAGAAACCCACTATTTGTCCAGGATGGCTTAGAAATCCATCTTCCTGAGCCCAGGGAGAGAAGATGGTGAAACCATTACCACAATGATGGAGACAAACTCATGAAGAGGCAGGAATAGTAAGGGAGCATGGGTCTGTGATCCTACCATCTGTAGATGGATCTTTTAGACAGAGTATCAAAAAAAAAGAAAAGAAAAGAAAAGAAAAAGAAAACAGTGAGCCACCCTGGGGCCCAGCTCCTGTTTTTCCCTTCACCTTGATCCCCTCTAGGTGCAAAGAGCAGGAACCAACTTACCCTGGACTCTCCCCTCACCCTCTGAAGCTTCTAAGGAGATGCCACACACACCAGGCTCTAGGTAAAGGCTGCTCAGGGGCACAGTGTACTGATTTAGTGTTCATTACTAAATCCCCTAGAGAGACCCATTTACATCTTAGACTGCACAGTTAGGTTGGAAATCCTGAAAGGGAAGGGAAAATTGAGAAGGCCACTGAAGGGGGGCTTGTTCTCTGTGTACTAATTCCAGTGCATTGTTGGGCCTCAGAGTGACGCTTTGGATGCATCAAGTGTATCCAGATTTAGTTCAGGTTTTTGCCATTAGACTCCAACCTAGTTTCCAGAATGTCGACTCCTGAATCCTACTAGATCCCCTTGAGTTCTGGAACCTGCCTGGTACTTGCAGAGAAATTTGGTCCCTCCTCTCATCTCCTGTCACATCCATTGAGCACTTGAAGAGGTATGCATGGCTGGCTCTGCATGTGCATGTATCTTGCTACAGTTTTAGGGACCTTTGATTCCACACACCAGGGCCACAGAAAATTATCAATTACTTCAGTACAACAAGGAGGGCAAACCATTATTCCCATAAGTTTCCTTTAATTAAACAGAGACTGTGATTACTCTGTCATTTCTTTCATTTGATCTAGATTGAATCTGCCTGCATGCTTCCGTATCCTCAGTGTAACTTTGACACATTCTTCTAAAGTAGAAGACCTTGTCTTTTTCAATACTCATCCCCCCTCTCTCCATAGAATCCCCTATGTAGGTGCACATGAAGGGGCCCTCATTTGAATCATAGCTAATTGATCAACTGTGGATTGTGACCCATCTTGTCACAAACCTAATCCTTAAAATCATTCCTGGGGCACCTGGGTGGCTCAAACAGTTGAGCGTCTGCCTTTGGCTCAGGTCATGATCTTGGGGTCCTGGGATCGAGCCCTGCATTGGGATCCCTGCTCAGTGGGGAGTCCACTTCTCCCTCTCCTTCTCCCTCTGCCCTGCACCCCTGCTTATACGTGTGTGCTCTCTCTCTCAAATAAATAAGTACAATCTTTTTTAAAATAAATAAATAAATAAATAAATAAATAAATAAATAAATAAATAAATAAATAAATAAATAAAATCATTCCAGTATCCTCGTGTTGCCAAGGAGTTTCCAACTAGCTCCATCTACTACTGAGTGGAAATTTCAGCTCCACAGACAGGAATCACCAACTGATACCAAACTGGGTATCTCTGAAGCCCCCAGTAAACATGTTGGATGGATAGATGCATGGGTGCATGGATGCATGGATGGATGCATCAAGACAACATACCTGGACAGTTTGTCCTTAGTACATTTTTCCTGGGAAGTTTTATAAGACCAGAATATTAGAAGCTCAGAGTTGGAAAGAGCCTCCGAGTTCATTTATTCTAATCCTTGGTCTGATACAGGTATCTTCTTTACAACCTCTTGTTTCTTGAAAAGTTGTTCAGTGTCATCAGTATCAAGGTGGGTGGTGGGATCTCCCAGGTGGCTTTGGAGGAAAGTGCAAATAGTTAGGCTGCACATTCAGTAGGTCTCAGGTTAGTGCTGGGTAGTTCTGGTGATTCTAATGGGAAGCCAGGTTTGGAATCCACTGGTAGGGAATTTAGCCAGCTGGAAGGTAGCTCCATCTCCTGTGCATGCTAATGGGTAAATCCTCTCCTCCACTCTCAACTTTTCCATACATCAGTGGAAAGAATTATTCTGAGATTCTGTACTCTCCTTTGCTTTCGCCAGGTGGGTAATGCTTCTTCTCCCTGCCCTGTACCCGTTCCCCTCAGAAGTAAACCTGCTGTCCTGGACCGTCCTCTGCCTTCAGATCCAGTTGCTAGGTGTTCAGGGCTTCTTCTTGGAGGGAAGTCTGGAAGTGGATTAAGCTGGCCCATCAATTCTCTTTCCTAATAACATAAGCTGAAGCAGCCAAGGAAGTTACCCCTCCAGTCACCACAGGAATGAGTGAATAACCACGGACTCTTCCTGAGACACCTGCACTGCCTTCCCCCTGTGCTCTGGCAGGTGCTAGGGAGTGCCCTTCCCTGTCCATCCTATAAGGCCCCCTCTAGTCTCACTTCCCTCAAAGCCCTCCTTGACCACAGCATCCACCCACTGTGCTCTCATGCTCTTCTGAATGCCATTACCATTTCTTTTTTAAAAAGATTTTATTTATATATTTGAGAGAGAGAGAAGGAGCAGGGGGGAGGAGCAGAGGGAGAGGGAGAAGCAGGCTCCCCGCCGAGCAGGGAGCCCGATGCCGGGACTCGATCCCAGGACCCTGAGATCATGACCTGAGCTGAAGACAGATGCTTAACCGACTGAGCCACCCAGGCGCCCCACTGTTAGCATTTCTTGCACATCCTAGGAATTTAGCACTTCTCACACAATGCTTTGTATTGAACAAGGTTTTCTTCTGCTCAGTTATAGTATAAGCCCTTCAAGGATGTTTGTTCTGCTTTTCATTCCTGGAACTCCTTCCTCTTTTCTCTCTTGCACAGAGAAGTTTCTTGATACCTGCTAATTGTTTCACAGGTACTTTCCATCTCTACCTTTTGCAACTGGAAATGTGGGGTTATCAACAGGCAAATGTTCCAGGATGATTTGTATTTCAATTCTGAATGCTAAGATGTGGTACTATATTTATGGGTCATTCTGTGACCATTATTAAAGAAGACTGTCTCATATGTCCTAGATCATCTACCTAACCTGGGGAGACAGCACCCCATATCTTAGAGGCACATCCTGGGTGAAGGCCTGTGTTTTAGAGAAACACTGGAGACTACTATGTCTTGTTGCTACTTGCACTCTCTTACCGAGTTCCTGGCTCCCATCTCTTTTGCCCTAACATGTTATGTGGGTTTGTACATCTAGCGAAGTCCGTAGGTGGTCTAAGGGCCCGACTGCCCAGATTCAAATCAACGTCAATCCATGTATTGGCTGCACATCTTGGGGCATGTTACTTAAAACCGTGTGCATCGGTTCCCTCATCTGTGTAAAGGAGGTAGCTGCATCTCCTCAAATGGTTATTATGACGATGAAAGGAGTTACTACAAGTAAAGCTCTCAATAAGTGTTAGTTGTCACTGTGATTATTAGTGGAGAAGCAGCCTAGGGAACCAGGAGAACTTGTCCTAGCTCTCCCACTTAACTGCTTTGTGACTTTGGACATATGAACCCATGATTGCCATTTCTTCATATATAAAATCAAAATATTGACAGTGCCCGGTGTGACTATCTCACAGGGTTGCAGTGAGATTCAAATGAGCTAAGAGATGTAAAAATTAGCGTTATAAAATGCTTTATGAGCTATAAAAACTTGCACAAATGTAGGATAACAAATGGCATCTTTTGCCTGCACCTGTATGATTGTACATCCCATTATGCTTTGTGCAATGGGTACTTATTGTTTCTGCCTCTTCCGTTAGCTTGTGACCTCCCTGAAGCAGAGATCACACCCAGCTCTCTCTTCTATCAACCACGATGTCTAGCCTGATGTCTGCATGCACTCAGTAAGCGGAAAATTGGAAGAGGAGCAGTGTCCTTGTGTGTATATTTTTCTGATATGCATTGCAGTAGCTTGCTCCCCATTGGATGGAAGGTACTGGCACTTTCACGCCACATCAAATGTAGCTTCCCAGACGGCATACCTGTGAGCAGGGTCTGCAAGGAAGTGTCCAGTTCCAGGAACCAGGCCCTCAGGAGACACTAACTGTGGGGACACCCTGGCCTGTCCCTCTGCCCCCGGGACCTTCCCGGGATCTGATCCCCTGTGCTCAGCCACCAGCCTTCCTATCTTCATGAAGTCTCTGAGTTAGTCTCCATACTGTTGGAGAGACCATAATACTGGTTTAGTTGCCCTTAGGCAGTCCAAACTAGGAAAACTGAGAAATCAAACCTCAGAATTTCATAAAGCAGCAGTGACCTCAAGGCCTGGCTTCCTTTCTTCCTATTTTGAAATTTTCCCAAGGTGGCAACTTTGGCTTTTGGACCTCTATTTCCAGCTCCCATGTCTTCATGAAAGAGGGATCTCAGAGGGTGCTCTCTGCCCGATGGTGTCCTGTATTATTTCTGTACCTCCAAGACACCCACTTGGTGCTATGCACAGAGAAAGCACCGGATGCACAGTTGCTGATTGGAATTAAAAGGATAGAGAAAACCAAAATGAGTAGACTCAATGGGAGATTAATTGCACAGGAGTCTGTCGACTGCATGACTAGAGCTGGACTTTTTTTTTTTTTTTCGGAACTGCTGGCTGCCTTCACATTTCCTGGTGGAAGTGGGACAGGTCATCAGACAACCCAGAGTCGTAGATAACTTTTGCCCACACATCACTCACTTTTTGGAGCGCTGGACTGAAATTGAGGGGTGTGTGTGTGTCTGGAACGACGTGCCTTCCGTGCGCCTCAGAGGGCTCTGCGTTCTCTTCCAATGGGCTGGTTACAACACAGAGGATGTGGACAGCAGAGTTTTTCCTGTTTGATGTCACACGGCTACCCTTTAAAAGTCCGAGGGAAAAAAGGAGGGAATCCAGCCTAGGATCCTCACGCCAGATACCCACAAAGGAGAGGAGAAAAAGGCCTGTGAGGCACAGCCAGGGGGCTCAGGGAGGCAGTGTCAGGTTTCAAACCCAGCCAGCCATTCAGAGCACTGCGATGTCGGGGACCCGCCTTGGGCTCCTGGTCTCTATCCTGTGCTGGGTAGTCAGAGCCTATCCCAACACCTCCCCGCTGCTCGGCTCCAGCTGGGGTGGCCTGACCCACCTGTACACGGCCACTGGCAGGAACAGCTACCACCTGCAGATCCACAAGGACGGCCATGTGGATGGCACACCCCATCAGACCATCTACAGTGAGTAGGGGCTTCATTCAGGCTGGGAAGGATGGGGAGCTCCTCTGTCCACCCGCCCCCAAGGGACCTGGGGAGGCCTTGGGCTAGACCAGAGTGCCAATCCAGCCTCCTAGCTTCTTGCCCAGAATCCACTTATTTGTCTGTGTGTGTGTGTGTGTGCACGCACGCACCTGTATGTGTTTAAACCCGGGGAGAAGATTCTGCCACTCCCTTAATTAGCATTTACTTGTTTCTCCCAACACAAATAATTTGTCTTAACTACAATCTCTTTTCCCAAAATAGCAGCCACTCTCACTTTGTCCTAGCCAAAGAATCCAAAAATGTACAGAACCGAAAGGCAAGGAAGTGGAGAGGAGAAAAGTTAGATACGTCATTGATACTGAGTTTGGGCTCATAAACTTTGGACAGGGCTAACAATGGAGGTTATAAAGAAGATTCCTGTATCAGACCAAGGATTGGAATAGATGAACTCAGGGGCTTTTTCCAACTCTGAGCTTCTAATATTCTGGTCTTATAAAACTTCTCAGGAAAAATGTACTAAAGACAAACTGTCCAGGTATGTTGTCTTGATGGGTCTGACCAAGGGCATGAGCCATCCACGCATCCATGCACGCATGCATCCATCCATCCAACATGTTTGCTGGGGGCTTCAGAGGTACCAGTTTGGTATCAGTTGGTGATTCCTTTCTGTGGAGCTGAAATTTCCACTCAGTAGCAGATCAAGCTAGTTGGGAACTCCTTGGCAACATGAGGCCACTGGAATGATTTTGAAGATTAGGTTTGTGACAAGATGGATCACAATCCATAGTTGATCAATTAGCTATGATTCAAATGAGGGCCCCTTCATGTGCACCTACATAGGGGATTCTATGGAGAGAGGGGGAATGAGTATTGAAAAAGACAAGGTCTTCAACTTTAGAAGAATGCGTCACAGTTACACTGAGGATACAGGAGAATGCAAGCAGATTCAATCTAGATCAAATGAAAGGAATGACAGAGTAATCACAGTCTCTGTTTAATTAAAGGAAACTTCTTATGGGAATAATGATTTGCCCTCCTTGCTGTACTGAATTAATGGATAATTTTCTGTGGCCCTGCTGTATGGAATCAAAGGTCCCTAAAACTGTAGCAAGATGGGGTGCCTGGGTGGCTTAGTTGATAAGCGTCTGCCTTTGGCTCAGGTCATGATCCTGGGGTCCTGGGATCGAGTCCCACATCGGGTTCCCTGCTCAGCGGGAAGCCTGCTTCTCCCTCTTCCACTCCCCCTGCGTCTGTTCCCTCTCTCGCTGTCTCTCTCTGTGTGTCAAATAAATGAATAAAATCTTAAAAAAAAAAAAACTGTAGCAAGATACATGCACATGCAGAGCCAGCCATGCATACCTCTTCAAGTGCTCAATGGATGTGACAGGAGATGAGAGGAGGGACCAAAGCTCTCTGCAAGTACCTGGCAGGTTCCAGAACTCGAAAGGGATCTAGTAGGATTCAGGAGTCAACATTCTGGAAACCAGGTTAGAGTCTAATGGCAAAAATCTGAACTAAATCTGGATACACTTGATGTGTCCAAAGTGTTGCTCATTTTATTCAAGGGATATTTAACAGAAACTTTCACTGAAAGGAACCCTCAAAGACATGTCCTCTGGAGCATGACAGAGACAGTGTGAGCCAACTGTGGTGAGCTGTGTGTGGTACAGTGTGCGATGCTCTGCCTACAAGCAGGCAGCCTGAGTTGTAGAACTTTTCCCTCAAATATCTACTGGCATCAGGCTCAGAGAAGGCACTCATACCAGTTGGGAGTGAATTAAAATGATTGAGAAGAAGCAAAATGAAGGGAAACGATTTCAGATTTTTTTTTGATAGAAATGATTTTGTTTTGTCAGATGTAGACAGTAGCTAAGCATTATGTCTCTAGAAATTAACACAAACCAGCAGAGGGCAATGGGGGGGGGCATTGTTGGGGGAAGAGACTTACCTGTCCTACTTTATATAACCCTTTATACTATTAAAATAAGTCATTGTGTGTATTACCCAAATAAATGTATACACAAAGGTCAAAACTTAGGAAAAAAGGTAAGAGGAAACACCGAGGCACGTGGGTAAGTAATTCACAGACTGGTGAAGGATTTGCTTACACTTGATGGAAGGTGTATAGTGTTTTTTCCCTCCTAATTAATTATACATTTCTTGGTGAAATATGGTTCATTTGATCATTGTGCTTTAGTCAGTTCTTGATTAATAGTTGAGTGCCCCACCCTTCTTTGGGTTGTCAGTTGTGACATTACCTGCCTGTAAGATTCTATAACCTCGCTTGGGACTTACATCACCGACATCCTCTGCACCTCCTCTACCCCACCCCACTTTCAGAGAGCCTCTCTGACGTCAGTCTCCGATCCTACTATGAAGGAGGCCGCCCTCCCGCTCCCCACCATCCCTGCTTCATAGAAACAGCAGAAGAGATGCTTATTACCCATGGTTAAGACCATGTCCAAGATCCTGATATTTTTCCTTCGTCCATTTTCCCCCCTGGCGCTTTCTTTACTTGAAGCTGAATTATCCTGGGACTCTTTAATCTTGCAAAATATTATCTTTCTTTTGGGGAGCTCGAAGCACTTTACATCTACCATCTCATTTATCATTTACCAGCATGAGAATAGAACAGAGCCAATAATTTTCTACCTTTTTTTTAAGATTTATTTATTTGAAAGAGAGACAGAGAGAGCATGGGGGGGGTGTGGAAGAAGAGGGAGAGGGTGAGTTTCCTCAAGCAGAGTCCCCTCTGAGCATGAATCCCAGGATCCTGAGATCATGACCTCAGCCGAAATCAAGAGTTGGACACTCAACCAACCGAGCCACCCGGGTGCCCCGATAATTTTCCACTTTTATAGCAGAGTGGAGGCAAGTGGCAATAGTAAAATCACTAGCATTTAGAAAGTGCTTTTATTATGCATAAAAATATTATCTCATTACATCCTCAAGAGGACCAAACGAGGTAAATGATTCCACTACCTAGGAAAACCAAAGGATAAAGAACTACACCGGCTCGAGGTCACCTAGAGGACACCTTGACCCCAACCCCATGCTTCTTCCGGGATCACAGGCCAGTCCATTAAGCCCACCTGGCTGCAGCAGGGTGTCGCTCCAGCAACCAGTGTTGTACCTTCCTTCTGCCAGTTTCTGCCCTAGAACCTGCCTGCCTGTGAAAACACGCCTTCCGCACAGGCAAAGGGAAGGCAATCTGTCTCTTCCATTTTCTGCACTTTCTCCTTGGCTCCCGTTGGTTTGACTCAAGGCTGTGCGTCATCTGTAGCAGCTGCTCACTCTTCCCCTCCAGGCTGTTTGTTCCTGGGACGGGCCCCCGGGCCCAGCAGCACACATGGCTCGCACACTGCCCACACTGACCCCAAGCATGAGGCCCGCGTGGCTGCCAAAGTCTGGGCTTGTCATAAATGGCAGGCCAGCGCATGCTACCTAATGCCTTCTGTTTGCTCAATGCTTTTTGAAAAAAGTCACTTTTCCAACCATGATTGCTTTTGATTCTGATCGGAACCCTGTAAAGTCAGCAGGCCAGCTACTGTCATTCTCTATATGCAGCTGAGGAACCCGAGGTTAGAACAATGACTTGCCCAAGGCTACAGAGTTAGGAAGTCGCATAACTGGGACCAGAATCCAAGTGCCCTGGTTCCTGGTTCAGTGCCCCTTCCCTGACCTGCTCAGGAGCAGCGTGACTTGGGGTTCTCGCCGGTTGCGACATATATCTTGGCACTTGATTTTGTCTCCTCAGGTGGGTGATGACTTTTACTGGAGGTGAATTTCTGGGTTGTAGGAAGAGGATGTTACAGTCACTGTCCTGTGTTTGAATCCTGCCTTAGTTCCCTTTGCACATAAATTGGAATGCTGCTACTACCCATGTTAATACTAATAAGATTAGCCAGATCACTTGTTTGAGAATTTAAAATCTGTAAAGTACCTAAAGGACAACCACTCAAAAACAGGGACCGTGTGTAATTTTTTCCCAGTTAGACTGAAAATTCATCAGGACAAAAACTTATTTTTTACACATTCCTTTGTTTCTTTCAGGGCTTGTCATAGAATTAGCCACATATTTGAGACCCCTAGACAGACCTCATTATGGGGCGATTTCAATACCCTCTGCACCTCCTATACCCCATCCCACTTCCAGAAGCCTCCCTCAAGGCTAACCCTTAGCTAAACCTGGAAACAAATTAACGTTCCTCCTTGGCCTTCTTGTTTTCTCTTCTTTCTGGGCTTGCTCCTACCCTCATTCCCTCTGTCCCACATCATTCCAATTTCAGTCCCTATGAAGTTCTGCTAGGGTCTAGGTATTGTCTGCTACTCTCCTCAGAGGTCTCTGAGTTGAGCCTACACAGGGTAAAGAGGGGAGACCCAGGTGTAAGTCACCCCGTGAGGCTCCCCCACTTCCTGGGCACAGATACTGGGCATTTTCAACCTCTCCATACTACATTTCTAGAACAGAAATTCAAACACCTGCCAGGGGGTTGTGAGGCCAAAGGAGATGCACATGGAAATTCTGTGGTAAGCAAATGCAAGTGACTCCAAAGACTTAAAGAAATGATTTTTAGCAGAAAATGTCAGGTAATTAAACAGCATTTGGGGTGGAACTCTTGCTGAATGATACTCTTGCCACAAAACAGAAAGCTTTAGACTTTAACTAGTCCTTGGGGCAATGCACTGCAACTGGTAAAATTGCAAGTCCCCACGAGGGCAGGCAGTTATCAGTTATTCAAAGTGTAGGTACTATGTGCGGGGTTTAGGCCCTTGTTGGAGATTGGTTGTTGAGTGGGGACACAGAAAGACCATGAGGGACTGCACTGGAGGGGACACCACCAAGCGAGAAAGGGACAAAGAGCAGCCATGAAGATCCAAGAAGAAATTCTGTGCATCCGTGGTATCTATTCGACACAGAAAAATAAACCCTCTGCTCCCAAGTAGCTCACTCTAGGGGAAGCACTAGATAATGTAAACTTAGTTTAGGCCAGGTGAATGAAACACACTCTGTAATAAAGGCGAGGACATTTGTTCTGATTAGGGAGATTAGGAAAGTCTTCATAGAAAGTCACATCTGAGCCTGGCCTTGAAGGATGAGAGACTTTGATAAGCAGAGAAGGGAGGAGAAGATAATTCTAACAGTGTTCTTGATACATAATGGGTGTTGGGTGATGGATCACGGACTGCCATACAGATACCTGGGTGGAGCATCAGGCTCTATACTCAAGCTGGATCCTTGAAGGACATCTTGGTGTAGATTTAAGAATTGCATAAGCCCAGAAGGCTTGCAAGAACCTGATGACCACCACAAGTATTAAGAGGTATTAGCCAGGCAACCAGGGAAGTAAAGACAGTGCAGGCCAAGAGGGAAACACGTGTCCAGCACAGGAGAAAAAATGCTGGGAGTTCAGAGTGCTCTATACCGACAAGAGGAGGAAGTAGGAGGCAAATGGGGGATGGGGTGGGGGGTTGTTTGGAGGGGAGAATCAGAAGAAATGAAGCTGAAGAAGTAAGTACAAGGGAGGGTGAAGTGAAGTCATCAGCGCCCTTAAAATCAATCAAGGGAGGATTCATGGGGGTGGGTTTTCAGGAAGCGCTCAAACATAGGAATTGGATGTGCAGCCAGTTTTTGACCTGGATGATTTTCTCCATAGGTGCCCTGATGATCAGATCAGAGGATGCTGGCTTTGTGGTGATAACAGGTGTGATGAGCAGGAGGTACCTCTGTATGGACTTCAGAGGCAACATCTTTGGATCCGTGAGTTTCTTTTTTGAGCTGGTCACCATTTAAAGATAATTCATTTCTTCCCCAGAGCATAAAATCTTATAAAGGTTCCATTGGCAGTGCTTGGTGATGTTTTCACGGAGTGATTTAGTCAATCTAAGTAGTAGATGCTCAGGTTTATACAGCTGGAGTTTGAACCCAGGTAGTCTGGTTCTGGGGACTGGGCTCTTAGCCTCTACTCTGACCACCTATGGGCACCCATCTACACAACACCTACACAACACCTTGTACGTAAGTCCTCTAATGAGAGCCATTAGTGTCTTCCTGATTCTTTTACTAGACCTTCTTGACCTTGGGCTGGTCCCCTCATTTCTCTCCACTTCAGTTTCCTCACCTGGAAAAAGTAGGGATCGCCCTCCAGTTAAGGATCTCTCATGGGGACTCCTGGGTGGCTCAGTCAGTTGGGCGCCTGCCTTTGGCTCAGGTCATGATCCCAGAGTCCTGGGATCGAGTCCCACATCAGGCTCCCTGCTCAGCAGGGAGTCTGCTTCTCCCTCTCCCTCTGCTTGCCACTCCCCCTGCTTGTGCTCATTCGCTCTCTCTCTCGCCAACAAATAAATAAATAAAATCTTATTTAAAACATTTAAAAAAATAAAGCTCTCTCATGAATGATCTCTGCCCCAGTCACCCGTCATTCAGATTGGTAAGCAAAGGATTTCCCAAACCACAGGTTGCAGGCATATTCCAAAGGATTTTGAGATCTTACCGTAGTAGGACTGTTCATCTCAGGAGCCTCTTTACCCCCAGACAGACCCACCAGAACTACCATGACAGCAATGACTTTCTGCTTAGCTTGCTGCCGTGTCCCAGCACCTACAACAGCACCTGGCCACAAGTAGACAACTCTCCATGGAACAAACATAGGCATTAAATTAAAATCTCTATCGACCACATTTAGGCATATAGATAGTCCTCATCTGTAAAAACACTCCGTGGAGTCTGAGGATTAACTGAAACAACATGTGAAGGTCCTAGCAGGTGTTCAATAAAACCCAGTACTAGTTAGTGGCAGAGTGAGGGCTCAAACCTAGTCATCTATTGCCAGAGCTCCCGGCCCTAAATCCGAAACGATATTATCTCTGAGTGCGAGTACCCTCAATTATGTCTGACCCTACAAACCCCATCCCCCCTCCTTTCTCCAGGCAAGGAGACAGACCCAAGCCAACTTCCAGCCAAAGGCAGAGGCGGGAAGAACTGGGTTCCCCTGACGTTAGCCGTCCCTCCAGAAACTGAACACAAGTGCTGCCTGCCATGGCCAGCCAAGCCGAGCCAGCCCCGTGCAGGGCCGGCGGGGGGATCCCGGCGGGAGCGGGGGCTGTGGGGTCAAGTCCCAACCGTGCTGCTTGCTTGGGCAACTTGGAGAGCGCTGGTCAGAGATCACTCCCCGCAGAAGGGAGCGGCGAGATGTTAAGGACGCCCCCCTGATAGAGTCCCGGAGGACGAAGCCAGGCCCAGCACCCCCACCCCCACCTCGGAGGGTCGCGCGGGGGTCGGGGGCGGGGCACGGGGGCCGGGGGTCCGCCAGGCGCTCACCCCACCGCTCTCCCTTTCAGCACCTCTTCAGCCCGGAGAGCTGCAGGTTCCGACAGCGGACGCTGGAAAACGGCTACGACGTGTACCACTCCCCGCAGCACCAATTCCTCGTCAGCCTGGGCCAGGCCAAGAGGGCCTTCCTGCCGGGCACCAACCCGCCGCCCTACTCCCAGTTCCTGTCCCGGAGGAACGAGATCCCCCTCATCCACTTCAACACCCCCAGGCCGCGGCGGCACACGCGCAGCGCCGAGGATACGGAGCGCGACCCACTGAACGTGCTGAAGCCCAGGCCCCGCATGACCCCCGCCCCGGCCTCCTGCTCCCAGGAGCTCCCGAGCGCCGAGGACAACAGTGTGGTGGCCAGCGACCCGTTAGGGGTGCTCAGAAGCAGCCGGGTGAACGCGCACGCGGGGGGGATGGGCGTGGACCGGTGCCGCCCCTTCCCCAAGTTCATCTAGGGAAACCAGAAAGGAGTCCTTTCCCAGCAGTCTTTCCGAAGAAAACTAAACTTTTCGGAACTTTTCGGAGGGACATGCGCCCTCCACAGTCCAGGGAAGGGGAAGGCGGGGATGAAATGGGCAGTTAGCGGCTTCTCCCCATTCACCGGGAGGTCCCCCGAGAATGTACCTTTGAGGCCTGAGTCATGGCGCTTTCACCGCCTTCCCCACCCCAACTATACCACCTTTCCTAACTCTGAAGCCCAGAAAGATAAACTAGAAGTTTCGCCTTCATTAAGGAGAGAGGGATTCCCACCGCGACCACCACCCTTCCCCCAACCACCCGGGGCAGTTTTTCTTCCCTATGCCTCTCTTCTTCATCAGTCTAGCATTAAAAACCAAGCAATGGCTTAACGAATTCACCGCTTCGAAGGTGAAGGGAAGAGCCAATACCAGTAGCTCTCCACTGCTCCTTACGTTTGTGTCACCTGCCTGGACCCTGTTGGCATCTTTGAGTCTGCAACCTTGACTAGGGCATTAATAGCTGACTTGGGCAAACTGATAAAAGTCCTAATCTCAAGGCTTCGCTCTTCCTTGAGCATCTCTGGAGAAGAGCTGTCAGAAAGACTGGTAGTAGGCTGGTCAAACCGGAACTGGAATGCTCAGACAACTGAGGCAAGAAACCAAGCTAGAAAATTCAACCTCCCTACCGAGTGGGCCCCCCTTGCCATGCCCTTTCCCCTTCTATGCAGCCAGAGCTGGAGGGCCAAGAATGACCCTGCCTGTTCCCAAGAAGTCCATGGTATAACCCTGTCTATGGGCCCTGTCTTGGGCTTTAGTGAATTTGGCCAGAGGAAGAGCTTTGGCATCGGCTCATGAAAATCTCCCCTGCTAGGAAATGGAAATAAATTTTTAAAATGGAAATAAATTCAAATTCCCCTTGGAGGCATTTGATGAAGCCTACTTCCAGGCTGAGTAGTACCGCATTCAGGATAACTGTCACAGGGAGGGAGTCTTGAGACCATGGGACTGCTCTGGGTTCGGGTTTCTGTGGACTGGCAGATTGTGTCCTTCTGTCTTAGTGAAGTGGCATCAAGGACTCAGAGGAAAAGAAGTCCAATAATCAGGGGACCAAAGTGTAGGAGTTACCCAAAGACAACGCTGTTGGTTCTCCTTACTGCTCTACCTATGGAGGTAGTTAAACACTCCCGGGCTGACATGTCTGGGTCTTTGTCCACTTGCAAATTCTGGGGGCATTACTGAAGACAGTTTTCAGTCCCAAGAAAACCAAACCTCACTTACCGAACAGCTGAGGCACCAGCCAGGTGGGCCTGATGCTCAGCCTCCCTCTACCTAGCCTTACTACCTGACTTGGAGTCTTTCTATGAGGGGGTCCCATGTTCCTACCTCTGTTTAGACGGCCGCCCACAGAGCAGAACGCTAGCAAGCAAAGTAGATTTCAACAACAGCTTCTTCGCATCGCCTTGTTTTTTCCCACTGCCATCATGCCCCCAGCCTTAGAAACCGATCCGTTGTTTTTACTTATGAAACATCGGACAGCTGTTTTCACCTGATGGCTTTAAGCTGAATTTGAAGGTCTTCTTCCTATTCTGAAACACTAAAACTATGTATACAACTATATAGCAATGCATGGCAAATATTTTCTCCATAGTTTTCATTTCCTGTTGGAGATATTATACTGTTTAAAAGCTTTTGGAAGCTCCCATACTGATAACTAGATGTAAAATCCCAAAAGGACTTTGGCAGAAAACTGGTTGTAATCTTATAAACGCAATACCATTTATTAGGGGTTCTTCCTTTGGCAGAGCCGGAGTAGTCCCCACAATTTCCTACGTTCCTTAGCATGTGGCAATATTTATTTATTTATTTGGAAAATTTGCTTATTGCTCAGTATTTATAGATATTTATAAAAGTGTAACCCCACTTTTTTTCTTTCTTCTGTTCAAAAGAAAAATAAAATTTATTGCAGCTTCTCTTAGCTTTTCCTTTCTGTATTACATGAAAGTATGTCATATGATAACAACAGGGATTATGGGAAGGCAGAATTGTGAAAATCCAGAGACAGCATTATTGAATTGAAAAAGAGCATCAGAATTTTAAAAGTCTGCCATTCATAAATGGACTCAGCAATTTTGATTAATCCAGACAGAACGACTGAAAACAAGGAAGATTTTTTATCAATACTGAATTTCTGATCACTGCAGCTCAAAAGTGTTTTCTTTAAGGAGAGAATTTTGTATTTGGAAAATACCCACAGAAGTAACCCTGTCAATATCCCAGGGAACCACTTAGGATGTACTTGACACACACACAGTGTGACTGCCCTGTGAGACTTTGTAGCAGGACCCCAAGATAATGAACCTAGGTCTTCTCTCTCAAGCTGGTGCCTCCAGAATTCCTTGTTTAATCTCTACCTGAGCAACTCCCCAAACACAGGAAGCAAAGATGCTGATGACACCTGATGACACCTTTCCATCACAATTACATACAAATACACATTTGTATTCAAATTTACATCTGCTCAAGACTACAGTTAGTTTTTCACTGCCTGACAGTAGCCTCGTCCCATGACAAACAAACGTATAAGAATTTAGTGCAGTGTTCACTACTTTGACTGGTGTTCCAATGACCTTTTGACAACCCAGACTGTCTTTTGATTGCATCCAAGAGTCTAAGTACCAAAGTCCTCCGTACAACAGAGAAGGGTGAAGGACAGGAATCAGGATAGATACAGGACTAGAGGTCAAATGCCTTATTTCTTTAATCACATAAAACAAGACTTATCAAAGGCAGATTATTGTTTTAAAAGTTATCTCCTTTCTGTTTTTGTTTGTTAACATTGCCTCTGTTTACAAGGCTCATCCCTCCATAGTATTTCTGAAGGCAGAAGGGATAAGTGGTTCTGTTTTATTTCTGGCCCAAAGGACTTTAAAATCTGATAACCCACAGGAATGGAACAGTACCAAAATAACCATTTTGGAGTAAATAGGTCTTCATTCCATTATAGAGGGAGAATTAAACACTGGAGAGAAAAAATGTCTTATAGACATTGCCCCTCCACAGGCTTGGAAGAGTTCTTTTTTCTATGACAGTTCTCCCTAAGGAGAGGAAAATTTAAAACTTTTGACACAACACAGTTAGTGGGGTGAGGATGGGAGAAGGTGAGTGAAGAAAAAAAAGGGGCACCTGGGTGTCTCAGTTGGTTGGGCGTCTGCCTTCGGCTCGGGTCATGATCCCAGGGTCCTGGGATCCAGCCCTGCATCGGGCTCCCTGCTCCGCGGGAAGCCTGCTTCTCCCTCTCCCACTCCCCTTGATTATGTTCCCTCTCTTGCTGTGTCTCTGTCAGATAAATAAAAATGTGTACATACCACTTTTATGATATATTAGATAATCTGGCTGCTAGGAGCTTCAGAGGTCTAACCATAGGCAGGATGCCCAGTATCTAAAGCCCAATCTTTATCTTGTCCATAGAATTATAAATCCTGGCATGATAAAGATGGCATCAACCCCCTTATACATATTTGTATAGGTACTTACTGTTTATATAGAACTTGTACACATCTTAACTAACTTAATCCCTAACGTAGCTTCCACTTCCATCCATGAGATAGTAACTGGTACCAGACGTGCTGTCCTGGCCAAACAGCTAAAAACATATATATGAGGCAATTGTTTTCAGACTACAGTCTTTGGGAGAAAAGCAACCAGTCCCCATGATCATCTCTTCTGTCCTCAGAACACATAGGAGATGGAATCCAGGCAGAGGCTCTGAGAAAGCAGCTGGACTTCGCAGTGGGGCAGGGTGGCTGGAAGGAGAGCCGTGCAGAGGGGACGTGTCACAGTCTGCAGGCGCATTCACTGCAGGTCTCTGGCCAAGGGCTGGGCTGCACATGCATAGGGAAACATTTAGCAAGACCCTACAAGGACCTGCTGCTACAGAACTGGGAGATGAGCAGGGAGTGCAAACAAGTATTAGCAAAAAGCCAACAGAAATATTAAAAGTGATTATTGAAAAATAATACTCAAGGCAGAAAAGGAAGAACAGTAGAACAAAAATCAGATGGGACCAACAGAAAAATGACAGACTAAATCCAATCATATCAATAATTATACCATATATAAATGAAATACTACAACCAAAGGCAGCAGTTGGTTAGACTGGATTAAATAGAAATATCCAACCATATGTTGTCTATAAGAGATGCACTTGTAAATGGATGGAAAGGAACTGCAGGAGTTTGCTAGGGCTGACATAACAAATTACCAGATTGGGGTGGCTTAAACAACAAAAATTTATTTTCTCAGAGTTCTGGAGTCCAGAAGTCCAAAACCAAAACGCCAGTAGGGCCTCTCACTTTGGCCTAGAGATGGCTTACTTCTTGTTTGTCTGCACATGGTCCTCTCTCTGTGAACAGGCATCTCTTGGTGTCTCTCAGTGTGTTCACATTTCCTCTTCATTTAAGGACTCCAGTCAGACTGGATTAGGGCCCATCCTATTGGCCTCATTTTAACTTAACTGCCTCTTTTAAAGGCTCTATCTCCAAGTACACTCACATTCTGAGTTAGTTGGGAATAGGGCTTCAACATATGAATCTGGGGAGGAGGGAAGAGGGCACAGTTCAGTCCATAACAGATATATATGGTAAAAAGAAGTAAGCATAACGAAATACATGCTTGCTACATTAATAGCATATAAAATAGACTTCAAGTTAAGGAATATTGCCATATGTAAAAGAGGCCATTTTTACATTTTACAATGACAAAAGGGCCAATTCATAAGGAAGATATAAAAATCAAATGTTTAGGTCTCTAAAAACAGAGTAAGAGGACACATAAAGCAAAACTAACAAAACTGAAGAGGGAAACAGACAAGTACAATCATAGTTGGAAATGTGAACAGCCTCTCAGGGACTGAGTAAGCAAGGAGGCAAAGAAATCAGTAAGGATAGGGACACCTGGGTGGCTCAGTCAGTTAAGCATCTGCCCTGGGATTGAGCCCCATGTCAGGCTCCCTGCTTCAGCAGGGATCCTGCTTCTCCCTCTCCCTCTGCTGCTTCCCCTGCTCGTGCTCTCTCTCTTGCTCTCTGTCAAATAAACAAATAAAATATTTAAAAAAAAGAGAGATCAGTAAAGATAGAAATATCTGCGCAACACTATTAATGAACTCCATACAATTTACAGTTTTTAGGACACTAAACCCAACAACTATAGAACAGTACTCTTTCCAGGTCCAGGTACATATGAAATGTCCACCGAGATAGATCACATACGGAGTCAATAAACAGCCTCAACTCAAAAATCCAAAATCTTACAGAAAAAAAAATCAGTGATTGAATAAATAAATGAGGGAGAAGAGTCCAATCTCTCAGGCAGAATTCCAAAAGATTTGTGTGGATATTCTGTCCTCAAGGAGGGGAACATAAATCCCCACTGTGTGCACCCTTTCTCCCAAAGGGCACAGTACAGAAAAGG